TTCCAATCTAAATATAAAGCACCATTTAGTTTTTGGCAATGAAAAAAACTGCAAAACGGTTTTTTTTTTTTTTCTTTTTTTTTTCCTTTTTTTTTTTTTTTCCCCAAAATTTTTTTTTTATTTATTTTTTTTTTAATGTTCCTAAGGGGAACTTTCTTTCTCCAATCGGTGGGTTTATTGTTTCAAGACAGCAATCTAGCTAACGCAACGCTTCTTCGGTGCTATCGGTCCTGTCCGCAGAGGGTCACCCAAAGCGTGTTTTCCTTCGCACGTCACAAAAACAAAACTGTACATGATATGTGTTACAGGATGTATGCAGCATGGTCGGTTTTGTTTGCTCTCGGGTTTGGTTTTGTTTCACTTTTTTTTTTTCCTTTTTTTTTTTTTTTTTTTTTCTTCCTCCTCCCCCTCTCTCCTCTTTTTTCCTCTTTTTTTTTTTTTTTTTAAATTTTCTGTTACTTCTTCCAAGCGTCACATTAAAGGCAGGTCTTAATAGCTCATAGTTAATCATCACTGTGTTGGTATTAGCTTATACACCTGTTCTAGTTTTAAATGGCAAACAGTACCACATTGTGCTAATAAATCACAATTTATTTATTTTTTTGCTCCCCTATCTGTTACACTCGGTAAAATATTATTGCCAGTCTTTATTTTACTTTTTTTATACGGTATACAGGAGGTCTTAAAGTTTATAATTTGATTGTCAGCTTGACAACCAAGTGGCTCCGGATTTATTTGTTTTGGTGCCAGAATCAATAAAAGATATTATTAAAAGTAAATATCTTCATAAAACGGATTTCCTTTATTGTGTGTTTAATGGTGTTCAAGGGCCTCTGCGCGTTTCACATTCTATTTAATCATCGATGGGGAGGGGGAATAAAAGTTTGGGGAAGGCAAGGGGGGGGGAAGATTCTACATCTCGTTTTAAGCTCTCTCCAGGAGCCAAGCGGGTCTTTAGACTGGTATGATCAGTTTGGTTTAAAAATAATAATAAGTAATAACACTAGTAATAAAATAATAAAGAGGCAGAGGAGAACGATGATTAACTAGGACTGAGCGGGTCATTTCTTTCTCTTCTTTAGTTTTTTTCTCTTTCCTCTTCGTTCCTAGGGAGCCGGCGTGGTGAGGGGGCGCGAGGCGGACTCGGGCGCCCGGCGGGGAGAGGCTCGACACCGCGACCGACGTGGCGACAAGCTACGCGTGGAGGACGAGCAGAAAGGAGCCATCGGCATCGGCCGCGACAGATCCAAGGCACTCAGATTATTTATTATTATTAATATTATTATTATTATTAGCGTGTGTGTGTGTGTTTGAAACCAAACTAATAGAAATCTACCTCTTCCTGACTGGTTACTTTCCAATTAAAGGCCTTTTTTTTTTTTTCCCAAAAAATTTTTTTTTATTTATTTTTTTTTTAATGTTCCTAAGGGGAACTTTCTTTCTCCAATCGGTGGGTTTATTGTTTCAAGACAGCAATCTAGCTAACGCAACGCTTCTTCGGTGCTATCGGTCCTGTCCGCAGAGGGTCACCCAAAGCGTGTTTTCCTTCGCACGTCACAAAAACAAAACTGTACATGATATGTGTTACAGGATGTATGCAGCATGGTCGGTTTTGTTTGCTCTCGGGTTTGGTTTTGTTTCACTTTTTTTTTTTCCTTTTTTTTTTTTTTTTTTTTGCTTCCTCCTCCTCCTCTCTCCTCTTTTTTCCTCTTTTTTTTTTTTCTCCTTTTTTTTTTTTTCCCGAACGGAATTGGAAACAGCGACGTGTTTGCTCAGCAACTAATCAGGGACAATTTAAAAAACAGCCATAACATACCATACATGCTGTCTAATCCAAAAATTAAAAAAAAAAAAAAAAGAAAAGAAAACCAACCAAAATAAAAAAAAACCAACCCAAAATAAAGAAAAAAAAAAACCCAACATACACAACATGTAAATTATTGCACAAGAGAAAGGCTCAAAGTTTGCGTAAAATGCAATAGTATTGCCCCGATACAGATCATGCATTCAAACGGTGAGAACAAAAAGAAAATAAACAGGGTGTGCTGGTGACAAGCACTTTCCGAATATCCTTAGCTTCCATGACTTCCATCACAAGGGACTAGAAAACCTCTACGGGGATGCGGGATGGGTTAGGGACGGGGGTGGATGGGGAGGGGGGGGTACGAATATACCTCTATTCAGTTTTTATCTCGTTATTCAAGACTCGATCACTGTGCCATTTTTTCATGTGTTTCTCCAGGGTACTGTACACGCTAAAAGGCATCTTACAAATCTCGCATTTGTAAACGTCCTTTCCCACCTGCCCGTGTGTTTTCATGTGCCGGGTGAGCTTGCTACTCTGGGCGCAGGCGTAGTTGCAAAGCTCACACTTATACGGCCTCTCGCCCGTGTGGCTCCGTCTGTGGACGGTGAGATTACTACAGTTCTTGAAGACCTTCCCACAGTACTCACAAGTGTCGCTGCGTCTGCCCTCTTTTGAGCTGGGCCTGCCAGGGCCCGGGCCACTAATATGGGGGGTGCTCCCTCCGCTTCCCGTGCCGCTGCGGCCTGAGATCCCTCCGTCCAGCTCGCCCGGCGGCGTGGAGAAGCGCAGGCTGCCGTTCTCCGAGGAGTGCTCGGAGGAGGAGGCGAAGGGCGATTGTCGGGAGTCGCCGAAGCTGAGGAAGGGGTCCTTCAGCTGCCGGGAGGCGGCGTAGCCCGCCAGCCACTGGGAGTAAACGTTCTCGGTGTTGGGCATGGCGGCGGCCGGCAGGTCGAACTCCTTCTCCAGCTTGATGCGTTTGGAGAAGGGGCTCAGGGAGCTGGGGCTACCCAGCAGCAGCTTTTTGGACAGGCCTCCCGAGGCGGACTCCCCCGGGGAGCAGCCCCGGCCGTTGACCGCACCCTCGTCGATGCGGTCGGACTCGCCGGCCACCGAGTCTTCGTCGCAAGTGTCCCTGTGCACCTCAGGCTCGGGGAGGTGGCCCCGCTTGTGTTTCTCCCCCAGGACCTGGTGGAAGGCCTCGCTGAAGTGCTGCATGGAGCTCAAGACCATGCCCTGCATGACGTCCGGCATCGACCGGCCCTCCTCGCCGGCCCGCGAGCTGTTCTCGTGGTGGCGGGCCGCCTCCAGGCTCATTCCGAAGCCATAGTCCGGCCTGTCGCTCTCGTTCAAGTCCTCCTCCTCTTCCTCCTCCTCCTCCTCCTCTTCCTCCTCCTCCTCCTCCTCTTCCTCATCCCCGTTCTCAGGGATCATGTTGGGGTCGTTCTCGCTCTTGAACTTGGCCACCACGGACTTGAGGGCGCTGCTGGCACTGCCCACCAGGTCGCTGGTGCCCGGCTCAGGGGAGCTGGCGGTGGAGAGCCCATCGTCCGACTTCACTGTCATGGGGGAGGACTTGTGCATGTGGGTCTTCATGTGGCGCTTCAGCTTGCTGGCCTGCGTGCAGGCGTGGTCGCAGAGGTTGCACTTGTAGGGCTTCTCCCCAGTGTGGCTCCGGCGGTGGACCACCAGGTTGCTCTGAAACTTGAAGGTCTTCCCGCAGAACTCGCAGGACTTGGACTTCATGGGGGGCTGGGAGGGAGGAGGAGCGGACTGCAGAGGAGGAAGGGGCGGCGTGGCCAGGAACGGGGGCTTGCTGCCGGGCTGGAAGGGCTGCAGCAACCTTTGCATAGGGCTGGGCCGGCTCGGGGACAAGGGTGGGCTGGAGGTGTTGCCGGCCAGCTCCCGCAGCCTCCGGGAGAAATCCATAGCGGGGGGCTCCATCGCCATGGGGTTCAGTCGCAGCACCCTGTCAAAGGCACTAGGGTGATGGGTGGCCAGAGCCATTTCTTCCGCACCCAGGCGCTCAATGCGATGCGGATCCAAATGGTGCCTCGGGGGAGGGCTAAAGAGGGGCGGCGTGGGTGGGAAACGCCCTTCTCCCAGCCCCGACGCCTCCCTCGAGACCGAGCCGGGTATTCTGAGCAGGTTAAAAGGGTTATTGTCTGCAATGTGAATCCCGTGGAGAGGTGGCTGGGAAGGGCACTCTGCACCTAGTCCTGTTGGGATACCAACCCGTGGCGTCAGGGGGCTGCCGTGCTCGCTTTCTAGGTAGATCCGTAAGCCGTGCGTGTTCTGTGCGTGCTGCAAGAGGAACCAGGCGCTGTTGAAAGGCTGTTTACAAGTCGTACACGTGTAGCTGCTGGGCTCATCTTTACCTGCAAAATAACACAACAAGCAGCGTCAATCTCCGGCCGTCCACCGGCGGGCGAGAGCTCAACTCCCCGCCTAAGCTCCTCTCCTCCGGGGCACTCGGATGGGAGCTGGGGAAGGGACATCCCGGCTCAGGTGCAGGGGACAGGGACAGGAAGAAACAAGGGGCACAGCACGAAGGTCCAAACCCACCCATAGCACATCCACCTCCTCCCAACCATCCCCAGCTCCCGGTTCAAAACTGAACAGTGGCAGGTAACCACAGCACAAAACAAGCTGTGAAAAAAGGAGGTATTAAAGTCAATCAGTGCCAGCTCCAACTCAGCAGACTTTGTGCTACAAGAGGCTGCACGTATTTGGAGTGGGGGGGGGGGTAAATAAATAGATAAGTGAGTATAAAATAAATAAATCCCCCTCTGAAAAGCACTCACACGGATCAGTTCAAAGCAGCAACCCAAAGCACCACAACTGCCAGCAAGCTGGGCATCAACACGTTATTATTAGTCTCCTCCTTATTTTGAGACTAACAATGTGTACAAAATTAGGCATCAACTTCTGCTCCTCAGCACAGATTCCACTCTGGGGCAAATTAAAAAAAAAAAAAAAAAAAAGAAAAGGGATCAAAAAAAAAATTATTTACCTTAGCCAGGCATGGAAGTGCAGGGTTTATTTTTGTTCCCTTCTATTCTATCCTGCTTCTAAAGGATACTGATAATAAACTGTGAAATATTAAATAAGTTGGGGGGAAAATTAAAAAAAAAAAANAAAAAAAAAAAAAGGGGAGCATGGGACAGGGAAAGGGGAAGGCAGCGGGAGAGGCAGCTCCGCCAGGGAAAGAGCTGGAGGGTGGCCAGGAGGCCTGGCCGAGCGCCCTGACGGAGCCGCATTATTTCTCTCGCGCTGAAAAGAAGCTGAGGATGGTAAATGCCACTTTGGCAAGTAGCAAGCTAACTCTATTTCATGATAATTTATTTTTGGAGATAACACGGACATTATAAAAGAGCAACCAACTAATAAATAACTAAACAAAAAGCCGGCTAATAATGACAGCAGAAAGCAGCCCCTTCTAATATACGGCAAAACAAAGGGGGATGAATAACTTTTTGAGGGCCGCCCGCGAGGAAAGAGTGGTGTGAGATATGGCGAAGGTGAGGGTGCTTTTATTGATTACTGGGATTTTGAAAATAATTCACTTCCACCCCCACACGGATGCTCTTTGCTAAATGCTGGTAAACCGAAACCGGAGCTAAGGGAAGGATAAAAATTCACTTCCAGCCTTGTCCAGCAGTTCTCACAGAGCTGCTGTTTAGGGATATTGTAAAAAATTAACACGGTGTTGAGGTTTGCTGAGGAATAAACCAGGAGCCCTCTATGGGCATCAGCGCTCAGGGTGATACCAGCCTTCACCACATACCCCCGCACTGACCTAAGACTCACATTCAAAGGAATCTGCTCCTTAGGCTAAACAGGCTGTTAGGGTAAACAGGCTGCACTGAGAGTTGCCCCCATTAGGTTTCTCCTATTTGCTTAATATGAAGAAGAGGAAAATTAAAAAACCAAATCAGGCAGATTTGGAAAGAAAATGTCCACATTTCCTCGCTTTATCTGCACCTGTCATGTTTCCTATCTCACTTGGGAGGAAGGGAAGAAAAGCTTCGTGTGCACATTTTCTTCCTCAGGTGAGCTGAGTGATGATCTGGGGGTACGAGATGGAACCAGATACCTTTAGATATCTTTAACCAGACATCTTACCCCTTCCAACCCAAACCATCCCGTGGATCCTATGAGATCCAAAGCTGGCTGTACTGCTCCATCCCAGCTTTCCTCCCTGCCTCCCGGCTCTGCCGCTTTTCTACAGTTTGGCCTGAGAAGCTGAATCAGGCGAGCGAAGAGACTCAATCGTCTACAGCAGGCATTTAACACTTTAAAAGCCCTTGGAATAACGTTTAACATTTCATCCTGAAGCCAGAATAAAATGCACTGTGGTGTTTAGCACGTGCCAGGCGTGCGAGCTCAGATAAATACTTAAATCTGCTGAAATTAAGAGGGAAATTCAATTGGACTTTCACATTCCTATGCTCATTTTTGAGCTCAGGGAAAAAAAAAAAATCTTAAACAGGAAAATTTCATCTTGCTTCACCATAATGAAGTGTAAGTTTTTAACACCGCAGTGGGAGCTAACAACGTAACGCTACCTCGCCTCTCTACCTTATAGATCAGGTCAGAGAAAACAGCATTTTATCTTATAATGAGGATACAACATTGAGCTTTCGCTACCACATTTTAGTATTCCCATCAACTAGATATTCCAGATCATAAGGGCAGCTCGTGTAATCATAATGTCAATGAGAAGGGCTGTTACGACTGAGACTAAAGATTACATGGAAAAAGCTGCTTTGAAACTGGTAATTATTACCAGTCCACTAATAGCAAATGATGCATTACAGTTTCACCGTATAATCTGTATTTCACTCAGCTCCTGCCAGTACGGCCTTATTATATTACAGCACTCACAAATTCTAAATTCCTAAACTACAGTCATCAATAAATGTGTTACTTGCCATAATTTGCGAAATTACTTTGTTCATAACATCTTCGACTGTTATAAAGACTGGAATTGATTTCCTGCGTGGCAAAATTAGGGCTACATTGATTCAGTGGAGTGTAAAATGTAAGATTATTCTTCATGTGCTTGCCTGAAAAACAAGTTTTCAATTCACCATCCGTGTTTGGTAATTAAGACAATAATTTAAATTTAAAATCATGTTTATGTACAAAACTCCCCTAAACAAAGCACCATTTTCAAGGGAGCAACGTAAAACCAGGCAATAAAATAAAGGAGCGAAACAGTTAAAATCCACCGGCCATTTGTCTCCACCTCCTGCTTTGAAGAGAGGTGATTTCTAATTTGTCTATTAGTGCCTGATTAATTATGAAGGCTATTGACTGACCATATCACCACCTAGAGATACGTTCCAGTCTGCTGCAGCCTTGCCAAGCTGCAGGAATTATGGCACTAATCCACGCATTGCCCGTCAGCGATGAGACGGGTCCTTACACTGCCACGGCGATCCCTGATTTTGGAAGGGATGTGCCTTCCCTTCCTCCCATCCCACCACCACGTTTTTGTTTTTTTTTAGTACAGCGTTTGGGTCCCCTCAAGAGTCAGACGGGATTGCAGGACCCAAAGGCTGTGTATCCACTGATGTCTCCCAGCTATGGGCCAGCCCCTGTGTCCACTAAGGCTTCCCAGCCAACACATCTGGGCAAGACCACGGGCAAGCGAGGTGGGTCTCACAGCAGGGAGATGCAGCAGCTGCTGCTGGCCAAGGACAGAGCTGGAGAATGTCCCACAGGGCTCCTGGTGCTTCATCGTCCACCGGGACAATGTGATGGATGTGTTATCCATTGTGATACCATCAGGGCTTCAGCCGATTCCCAAGAGGGTACCAGGAATCCCCCATATCCAGATGCAAAACTGGTCACTGCTGAACCACCCTCCTTGGCCACCAGCAGCAGGGCTGGAGCTCACATCCTCGGCTGCTTCACATCGAGGAATTCAGGGCTGGAAGGGCCCACCAGCCCTCACTCTCTACCTTTCCTCTGTCACCCTGTGACCAACACGGTGCCTTTCAGTAAAGCATGACCTCCTCAGCATCACAAACCATCTGTAGGGCAAAGCACAAAATCCCAGTGAAAACTACTCAAACCAGCTCAGAAGATGTGAAAAACACCCCCTGCTTGCCACCCCTGCTTGCTTGTCAGTTCCCACAGCTAACCACACTTACAGACGGGTACTGGGATCCACCTGAATTTCTCTGGCTCCAACATCTACCTGTTCTTTTTTTGATTTTTTTTTTTTTTTTTTGTGGTTGATACACTGAAAAGCTCTTGGTGCACAGTGGGCCCCCCTCATGCACAGCAAGGGTACTTGTGCAACCAAAAATCAAGCCACACTTCAAAATTTAGTTATTTTTCCACCCCCTTTATCCTCCTCCACTACTCAAGGACCAGCCTAGCCCTTCTCACACTGGCACCATGCTGGGAAAGAGCTGATTTTCCTCTAAGCCTCCCACAGAGCTGCTGCCTTCTAGAGTACCGTACTCCAGCTGTGTGAGCATGGCCCCGATTCTGCTCTTCTAGCCAAGGAGCACAGCAGGCTGTACCCAGTGTGTTCTCAACACACTCTTCTTGACAGTCTGCCCAGGCCACCCCATAAACCCACCCCTCTTGCTCTTCACCCGTCCACCCAACTCTGCTTCACCCACAAAGCGAATCAGCCGCAATTGCATATTAATTTCCAGATCACCAATGAAGCACTAACCACCCCTGTGGCTCCTGCTGACCTCTCCAGCTAAGCCCCCACATTCCCAAATCTATTGGCCAGCTGTGAATCGCCTGTGCCAGCAGTACCACCCAGTGCTCAGTCCTCCCATGCACAATATCACAAGGCGCCGTGTCCAACACCATGCAGAGTCTATTTCATCTACATTTATCAACCAAAGTTGTCACCTACAAGAATGAAATCAGCTTTATTTAACAAGATCTATATTCCATAAATCTAAGTTGAGTGGCATGAATTATATTTCTATCCCTTAATTCTTTATCAATTGAATCTTATGTTGGCTCTTCAATTATTTTGCCCAGAAGAGATAAGCAAAGTGTTGCCAACTCTTCCACGTTACCCTGACCAGCTCTTGACATCATTTTCCCAGTCCATAAGCTTTTTGAAAAACTAGCATCTCACGTGTCAACTCTTCAGAGTTTCTTGGGTGCAAGCTGTTAGGGCCTTTTTGTTTAAAAGTATTTCTCTCCACTGTACCTTGTATAAAATCCTCCTTGGCTACTAATGAGCTAGAAAAAACATCACCACCCACCCATGACACAGAAACACAGCAAGGCTCCTTTCCAGGTCTACAGCAGAAGTTTTTAACAAAAATTTCTACTTTACTGTTTCTTCCATCTATCACTTCTCTTTTCTCCAGAATCCTGAGGAGCCTTCTCT